CATTACCTTGGGACATGGGCAGGAAAAATTAACTTTGTCTCAGACTGGTAATAGGACTGAAAACTGACCATCAGTCAAGGCTAATGAATCCCTGACTAATCAAATAGTTAATAGAAATCTAATTCATATTTTAGAATCCAATTATATTAGAAAAATATGGTTTATGGATATCTCAAACAGATTGTGTATACATTTTAAGATATAAAAACACAAGTTGTTAAAACAGAAAATCAACTGTCATACTATTCAAGTTTTGCTAGTGAAAGAATTATACAGACTTAAAATAAGATGCTCAAAGTGCTTTTCAGTACATGGACCAAATTCTAACAAATTTATTAGTTCTTGAAAGGTACAATTTTAGGATACTAAGGTATCATTTACACTAGATTCTGGTTTGTTTCCAAACAATATTCTGTATCATCTCTTAAAATGTATATAGGACTTTTGCATATTGAACATAATTTCACTTAATTCTCATAATAATCTATTTATTGCTCACATCTCCCTCCTCCCTAAATAAAGCTGAGGTTCAATAAGGTACAGTCATAGAACCAAGGCCAATCTGTAAGTAGAAGCTCAAAACACAAAATCCATCCTCCTAAATCCATATTCTGTTGTCTTTCGCCTTACCCCATTTCATTTTCATGTTGATCTATTCCTTACAACATTATTATTTCCTAAATTCAGAGATCAAATAGCTTATCCAAAATAAGTTGCAGCTGTCACAGTAACTTGTTTCCAAGTCTAATGATTAAGAAACCCATGTTTAGTGCTAGACAATTTTAAGGAATGAAATAGGGAAATATTAATGCACCTATCTATTTTATTGCAATTTATATTCTTGGAAGTGCATACTATAATTCCTTAGTTCAAGGTTATGCCTGTCCAACAGGAATATTAAGGATGGCAAAGTCAGCTTTTATAAGTCTTGCCCTCCTGTTTTTTTTATTTCTCATTGGCAAGGCAGGTTACTTCTGAGGTCCTTTTACGACAGATTAAAAAAGACTGAAATGAGTTAAACACTTAAATATGCATGCCATAATAGCATTTATAAAAAAAAAACTAGGACAATACTCTATCCCCCCAAATAACAAATCAGTACTTAATACCTTTGAAACTTTTCAACTATATACAAAATATAAAAAAGTGATACCATTTGATCAGTTTATTATGTCATTTCTACAATTTATTATTTTATAATAGGAAGGAAAGTCATACAAATATCAAATATCAAATTCTGTAAAAAAATTTTTTTTGGTGTTGGGGATTGAATCTAGGGCCTCATACATGCTAAACATGTCCTCTACCACTGGCCTATATTCCCAGCTTCCAGTTCTGTAAAATATGGATGTGAAATATTTTAATGTAAAACAATGAAAATTTTGGGCAAAGTATAAGATAATCAAAATGAAAAAAAAAGATAATCAAAAGGATATAAAAGCCTTGAGAAGGAAAATCAAGCCAGAAAATTATTTTTGAAAGCACTAAAATATCTCCCTAATTATAAGCTGTTAAATATTCCTTTTAATCTGTATGTACTAGTTGATTTTCAAAGGTTAATTTCTGAACACAGTAAGTTTTATACAGCTTTTGTTTTCTTTCCAATACACTGAATCTTGTTTATTATGGAGTGGAATTTGGTATAAGATGGGTTATTTTGGACCTAATCCAAGAGGGTTTAGTTACTAAAAGCACCTCATTATAAGGTGGTCTTACCAATAAGGTGATCCACTGGCTCAGATCCCATGGATATTGTAACAAGGCTCCATTGTGGAGTACAGGAAGCCAGGCAGCTAATGGTTCCATCAAATGAAACCTTACAAAACAAAATTCTATTTTTTTTTTTCTTTAAAGACATGGAAATGGTTTAAGGGTAAGGGATCATAAGCCTTGGTCATTTTCCTAAATCTCCATTTCCTGAAGTGGTATTCTTTATGTTTTATAGCCACAAGGATATTTCACACTAAGGTTTTAGCTTCCTTAGATATTCAGTGTCTTGTGTAATTTTAAATTGTTTTTGATTCTGAAATTTTTCATGACTAATTCTTCTTTACAAAAGAATGGTGGCATGTACCTAAGGAAACAGACAAGAAAACATCAAGAATTCATAAGAAGTCTTAAGTAAATTTTTGCGTTCACTGAAAAATTTGAGATTCAAAGAGCGTAATTGTGTAGTTATCAAATATGAAAAGAATACCATCACTTGCAGATGAATACAACAGTCAGTCTTTCAAGTAATTTTTACGACAGGCACTTTTATTTCATTAAATTTTCTAAGCAATTCTAAAGAATTAAATATTTTGAGTGCAGTTTTATTATAGGAAAATAACAGGATAAAGCCCAATTTCAGAAATATGAGAGTACTCTTTTTTTTAATTAATGTTTTGAATAGAAAGATCTTAAGAATAAAAACAAAGCTTTATGTGTATGTAGAAACAGTGCCAGATTTAAAACCATATAATAAAAAATGCATAGTAGGAACATAGTAAGAGTTATTAATAATACCTAACAAAATTCTAGAATGTTTTCAGTAATTTATCTAAAGTTCAAATAACAAGAAATGAAAATTCTATTTTTTACACAGTTGCTTTTTTTAAAATTTTATTTACAGTTGCTTTTGTTTATTAAAAAAAGCCCTTTATCCAACTGGTAATTTTCATCATACATGGCCTCTATGATATATATTTTTTCAAGCCTTGAATAAGTTCAATAGTAAATAACTTATTTTATATGCTCTAAGTATATGAGGCAAGTTGTCTGATAATTACTCAATTTAAATATCTTTAAAAGTTAAAATAATCCAGCTAAGTAATTTTTCCTTTGCTATTAATAACCGTTTTTTAGTGTCAGTTTATCTGTATATCTACAATTAAGAAAGTCTTCATCTAAAGCCAGAATGCACTGTAAAAATATGACTGATTGTAAATATAGGACTGATCTACTAATAACTGGTTTAAGGATAAGGGATCATAAGCCTTGGTGGCCCGTCATGTGCCAGGTACTACCTTAAGTGATTTTATATGTTTTAACTTAATTATAAACATTAAAAAATATTATCAATAATAAAATGGTTTATATCTACAAAGGTTAGTTGTTTAATTTTTGGATTATTATATTGTTCAATAGTTCAACCTGCAAAGACCACAGGTTTAGTTCAACAATGATATCATAGGAAAAAATCTGAAATGCTTTAGAGATACTAAAAACTTGTGGTACATTTCTAAGTAATGAAGGGACATGGTATCTGCAACCAAATGGATAATTATACCGCTATTGGGCTGGGCGGAATCTAATATATCCCAATCTACAGATAAACTCTTTTAATTGGTAAAATGTCCAATTAAATTTCTTTAAATTGCTTAAGATGATAACATCCAATGCTATAGAGGCAAATAAGCTATTTTAAAATCTAAATGCTAACAAAAAATGCAAGCATGTGTATATACATACATATATATTTCATTCCTTCAGATGAATGCAAAAATATATGACTACTGGTATTTTTGACCTGATAGTAACAGACTATTTACACTACATGAGTACCCCATAAAATTTCAGTTCAGGTTGGAGAGGCAATTCACCAGTAGTGAGGTTGCTTAGCATGTGAAGCCCTGAGTTTGATCCTCAGCACATCCACAGGGCATACATACAACCATTCACTTCAAATTAGTCTTGGATCCACTGAATAACAGGTATTTCTTAGATAAAAATGAGTGGACATGTTTTTTAATGTTAGAAACCAACATCTTTAATAACCATTTTTGATCAGATGTACAATTTCATTCACCAAAACACTCAAAATTCACAGAAGATTTTCTGTGCTGTAAGGGAGCATAATTGAGTTGTGCTTATGGGTCTGCTTATTAAATTTACATGTCATTTTTTTTCTATTTTAATAGTTGCCTAAAACTTAATGCATGCACATATCACCTTTTTGTCAGTAGTGCTGGAGATCATCAGTAGTGTTGCAGACCATTGTTTCCAACAGAGATGGGGAAGCTGAGTAATTAGAATTGAACATTTGGACTATTTCATCTGGCATTTTATAACCTTACGTTGTTTTGTTTATGATACATTTGATTTTAGTTTTCCCAAATAAAAAGTTCAATTATATATGCATGTTGTTTCCTTCCTTAAATTTTCTTAGATACAAGGCAGTTTATTAAGACAGTAAGCTTTCTAAGACAAACTTGATATCTTAAAAAAAAACCTCACATCAATATGAGATATAATCTATAGTGAAAGTATAATGAAGTATGAGTAGATTCAACTGTCATTAATCATTACGTATCAGTACAAAAACAAATGGATGAGGTGAACTACAACATATGAAGTTGTGTGAAATTATAGTAAGTGCCCTAGGAACCTAAGTATCTTGTGAACTGATTAATCTTAAAGACTTATTAGAGAAGGCTTATTCGACAAAATACTTTCTATAAATCATTTTATGAAAATATAATAATACTTACATTTCTGAACATAAAACAGATCTAGGGCCAGGATGTAGCTCAGAAGTAGCACACCTGCCTAGTCTAGGGTTCGATCCTCAGTATTGTAAATAAACAAAACACTTCTTTCCTGAACATAAAATAGACTTAAAACTCTGATAACAATGAACTAAAGCAAGAAAGTACTACAAAAACTTCCAGTCATACAGTGGATAAGTGACTATTTACAGTTGAGATAAAAAATATAACAATATGTTTTTATGGCTTGACAGTATCACCTAATATCAGTGAGCACACTGCTTAAAGTTATCACCATTCCCTATTCCATGAGTTTTCTCACTGCTCCAATTCATTTACACAAATTTTTACATTATCATCAATGTCATCAATTTTTCTTTCTTTTTTTTTTTTTTGGTTGGTCGTGGGGCCTGAACTCTGGGCCTCAGCTCATTAGCTCAAGGTTAGCATTCTACCACTTGAGCCACAGTACCACCTCCAGATTTTTCTGCTTATGTGGTGCTGAGGAATCGAACCCAGGGCCTCATGCATGTGAGGCAAGCACTCTACCACTGAGCCACCTTCCCAGCCTCAACTTATCTTTCTTCAGTATGTAAGCTTGAATTCAACTTTGTGCCTGTGCAACCTCAGCTTTCCTTTCGCTGACCACTCCAGTTAGAGTTCCAATTTCAAAAAGGTCTTCAGCTAAAATGCAATCTGAATTATTACTAAGCCTATCAGTTTCCTTGAGCTCATTTTCTTCATCTTCATCTACAGGATCATAAAGTTCAGGTGTGAAATATATAGACTCATCTTCAGCTTCTTCTTCCAAAGCTTCAGCGGAACTGGGATATTTATCTTGTTTGCTTACTAGAGACAAAGGAGTATCTGGATCCAGGGCTTTATCAGAGCATAGCAGTTGTTTTGAATTATTTCCTTCAATGACATCTTTCTTTATTGATGAAATAGTGATTTCTTGTTGAGGGCATGGCCCCAACGATGCACTTACTGTTAAATCTGAGAACTCACATTCATCAGTGAGTGGCAAAACAGTGTTCTCTTCCACTTTTTCTGTTTTGTAGGTAGAACTAGAACAATTCTCTGAGGACCTGAGCTCAGGTGTTGCAGTCTCTATGTTATCAGTAAAACATTTTCTCAAAGAATAAAAAGTAGACCAGCTACCTTTCTTGGTTTGTTTGTTGAAAGTTGGGCTTGAGGATCGAGAAATCACTTGCTCTGCTTGCAGTGTTTGAACAGATTCTTCCAGTAAAACTGAATCATCTAAGAATATAAAAATTTCAAAACTTTAACTTTCTGCTCCTAGTTAATATTATTGTTAAGTTAGAGTGATTTTATTAGATAACATAATGTTATTATGTGTGTGTGTGTGTGTATATATATATATATATATATATATATATATATATATATATATAGCAGTATTGAACTTTCACCTTAGATTTTACAGAAAATAATGTTAACTCTGAAAGAAAAACCCCATCTCCAGTTTTTCCTAGCTTAAATTGTAATGCTACTTAGTAAACTTAAATTCCACACCAGGGACCTCAATCAATTGTATAAGAAAAGAAAGAGTTAAAGGGAAGAGGAAGGGGGTTGAGTGAAAAAGGCAATAGGTTGTAAAATCTTGCCTTGAAAACCTCCTAACCTATTTATTAAATTAGGGACTCATGGGAGAAAAACTGCCCTAGATTGAGTCCCTAATTTAATAAATAGGGAAAGTGATGATTGCAAGACTGTTATCTGCTCAAAGTTATAAAACTGGCTAGTATTTAAGACTAGTACTAGAACTCAGTAGTCTCCTGATTACTAGAATAATTGTCAAGTCACTATGTATTTCTTTAGAGGCATATAAGAATGTTTAACAACAGATAGATTAAGCTACAATGACAGATGAATTAGACAATTAACATTATACCCTATTACCAGAGTATGGTACTTTTTTCCATTCCAAGTCAGATAGCAAATATTTTTGGCTTCACAGGCCACATTGTCTACATTGTAGCTACTCAGTTATGCTGTTTTAGTGCAATACAGACAATTACTCACTTTGCTATACCTGCCCCTAATGTGAAAGAATTATGTGACTGAGTTCCATTAAATTTTACTTACTCCTCTGCAAAACAAACAAATCCCTAAGTATTTTTAAATTAGACTAATTTTTATACAGCCTTTAAAGAAGCATCTACCATTTGTAAAATGATGTTGATCACCTTATTTAATCTTTACAATGTAACCCAGATTCAGCCTTTTCTGCTTTGACTCCAAAAGTTCCTGTCTTGCTCATGGGCACAAAGGTAGTGATATGATGAAGCTCATTAGCAGAAAATCAGAAAATGGACTGTTATTCTAATAGAACTTGGTCTCCATTATAGTATATCATATTATTTTATAATAATTTTATATTATGTAACCTACTTCAAGAAATTAATATATACCAAAATAAATATCACTTCATTATTTTACAGTGAGAGATTTCTCTGTTAGATGTAAATAGATGCAGCATTACATACTTTTCTCCTTTCTGGTGATCATGTTGCTTTGTGAAGACATATTTTCAGTGATCACTTTGGCACTTGGCAGTTCCTGGATACGTATTTTTGCTTCATCTTCCCTAGGAGTTTCTTGTGGTAGATGGTTTGCTGTTTCCAATAAATACATATGGGGTCTGTCTTCCAAACAGGCCCCTTTAGGAGTAGACTCATTGTCTTGTATACTCTTCCTGTTCTTTTTGGGTGACTTAGTGACATTTTGGTGCTTTTGAGCAAATTCAGCTAAGGACTCCAGCGCACTCTCAAAGGTTGAATGGTGCTGAATCTCTTGTCTTACCCATTTAGAAAGTCCTAAAGGAAAAAGAATCCAGGGGAAATTTGGTTACTTGGTTACTCAGTTACCTTTTCTAATGACTTTTGAATGTACGGAATGTTTTAGTTCATATGTACAATATACATGTAACTTATGGTAGGATTATGTCCTGATAAACCCATCATTAGGTTGAAAATAGTGGAAGCTGAAAATGCACTAAATGCAACTACTGTGGTGCATGGAGAGCAGCCACTGTTTACTGTGTGATCCTGTGGCTGACCCAGAGCTGCAGAAGACTGCTGACGCCAGCATCTTGTGATGTCATTTATTGCCAGCCAAGAATTTTGAAGTTTCTGCAGAATGTGTATGCTGTCATACCAGTGTAAAGCAGAGCCACTGCAAGTTAGCAAATGACTATATCTCTAGTTGATGACAGTTGGACAAGAGACAAATTTAATTTCATTGTATTTTCCCCTGAGAACTGCCTGACATTATCATGCAGCAAAACTAGAAGTTGTAAATAAAGCAATCATTTCATCCTTTTCCACAAATTCAAAAACTCATAAATTTTTTTTAGATCTTGTTCACCAATTCCAAATATGCAGTCAACTATTCAAGAGGTGAAAGAAATAACACACTTGTTGGAAAGCCAAACCCTATCTGCATTTTTTATTACATAATTTCAAATATATACTCAAAGTAAGGAATATGATTTAACCTATGACATAAAAACTATAACAATAAACCAGATTAAGAATGTGGTCTTGGAGCTGGGAATGTGGCTTAGTGGTAGAGTGCTTACCTAGCATGCATTAAGTTCTGGGTTCGATTCCACAATAGCATATAAATAAGGTCGGAAGTGGTGCTGTGGCTCAAGTGGTAGGGTGCTAGCTTTGAGTACAGAGAGGCTCAGGGACAAAGCCCAGGCCCTGAGTTCAAGCCCCGGGACCAACCTCTCCCCCAAAACAACAACAACAACAATAACAATGTGGGCTAGAAATGGAGTTCAGTGACAGAGTGTCTGCCTAGAATCAATAGGGACCCATGTTTGATCCCCAGCTTTGTGGGGAGGGATAAAGCATTTTTCAACTTAATTAAAAATCTTAATTTACAAAATAAGTATTTTATGGTTCATGCTATTAGAAGTACCATTATCTTTCTGAAAATTAGTTTTAAATGCCGCTATGAAATTATATGTTAAAGAATAAAAGAGCTTCAAGCAACCTAAATTATACTTTCATTTCAAATATACTCCTTTTGAAATTTTTCTATCAATTCTCTATACAACCCAAATCGAAACAAAAAATGAATTTGCTCTGGTGCCAGGGACTCACACCTACTTATCCTCCCTACTCAGGAGGCTACAATCTGATGACTGAGGTTTGAAACCAGTCTGAGAAGGAAAGTCCATGACACATATCTCCAATTAACCATTCATAATCAAGAAGTAGAGCTGTAGCTCAAGTAGTAGAGTACCAGCCTCAAGTGAAAAAGCTAAGGGACAGTGCCCAGGCTCTGAGTTCAAGCCCCAGAACTGGCACTAAAAAAAAACAACCCAAACAGGATTTTTGTGTGTTCTATGCTAGTATTACCAAAGTAAGACAATATTTTACAAATGTCAGAAAAAGAAAATAAATATCCACTAATAATAGAAATATTATGTTGTAAAAATCTGAACTATGAAGTAAAACTTTCAAATTTTAAGATAAAAAAAGAAAGCAACAAGCATTTTCCTTAAATTTCTTAGTTTGCTTGGGGAAAATGATTATTTATGCCAGATAAAACTGATATTTGATCTTTTTATAAACAAAGTATAGGATGCAAGTTTGCTTTGGAAACTTGAAAGAGTCTGAGCTCCACCTGCTGACTAAACACAGGCATTTGGCCCTGGTACTTGGACTTACTGCTTAATTGAAGCTACTGCTTGTTTTACATAGAAAGGTTAAAAATAACAACAACAAACAACACTAAGAAGGGAGTATTTTTGCTTTAATCCTGGCAGTTAAATTTTATTGTCCTATTAAATACAGTGATTAGACAATGAAACTGAGCAGGTTAAGTCTACATTCATATACAGCTAACTTAAAAGACAATTAAATTTTACCATGTCCTAATTATAATTTAATGAATTTTTAATCTCTTTCTTTCTTTTTTTTTGGTTCTACTGGAGTTTGAACTAAAGGTTTGGGGGTTTGAGTCTACTAGGCAGGTGTTCTATCGTTTGAGCCACACCTCTGGCCATTTTACCTGGACTGTATTTGAGATGGGTCTCCCTTTTTGTCCAGCTATCCTTGACCTTGATCCTCCTATTTACAGGTGCATGATACCTCACCTAGCAAGAACTTTTTGCCTCTCTACTTTCTTTCTTTCTTTTTTTTTTTGTTGGTCATGGGGTATGATACCTCACCTAGCAAGAACTTTTTGCCTCTCTACTTTCTTTTTTTCTTTTTTTTTGTTGGTCATGGGGCTTGAACTCTGGGCTTGGGCACTGTCCTTGTGCTCTTCAGCTCAAGGGAAGTGCTCTACCACTTGAGCCACAGTGCCACTTCTGGCTTTCTAGTGGTTTATTGGAGATAGAGTCTCACGAACTTTCCTTGCCCAGGTTGGCTTTGAACCGTGATTCTCAGATCTCAGCCTGAATAGCCAGGATTACAGGCGCGAGTCACCGGCGCCAGGCTGCCTCTCTACTTTATTTTTTATTTTTTTAATTTATTTTTTTATTGTGAAAATACTGTACAGAGGGGTTACAATTACATGGGCAAGATAATGAATACATTTCTTATCAAGCATTGTAGCCTCCTCCTTTGTTTCCCCTTCCCAGCCTTCCCCCCACCCCCCACCAAAGTTGTAAAGTTCGTTTTCGACATGACAACTTGTACTTCTCATTGTTGCAATGGGTCCACCTGTATCCTTATTCTAACTGCAATTCCTCTCAATATCTTCCTCTTGAGTAGCTAAGACTACAACCATAAGCCAGGGAATCCTGGAAATCTTTATTTTCATTTTTTAAGAGGTACTGGGGTGTTTGAGCTCAGTAATTTGTGCTTGCCACACAGGTATTCCACCACTTGAGTCAAGGATCAGTCCTTTTTGCTTTTATTGTTTTTCAAATAAGAGTCTCATTGTTTCTCTCAGACTGGCCTAGGCCACCATCTTCTTATTGGTACTTCTCATGCAGTGGGGATGACAGTGGTGAACAATCACCCCCAGCTTTTTATTAGCTAAGATGATGTCTCATATACTTTTTTGCTTAGAATGGCCTCTATCAAAACTATGATCTTCCTGAGGTTAACCTTCCAACTAGATAGGATTACAAATACAAGCCACATTCTTAGTTTGAACTTTTCCTCTTAACAGTAATAATAAAAATAATAAATCCCACAGTTCCTTGACAAATAGTTCCCTAGTATTGATTCTGAAAGGACCATCTCATTGCTAGATAAAAATCATATGCATATAATATTTGTTGAACTGAGTGGGAAAAATACTATCTACTTGATACTGCTACAAACCATAATACTTGATTTCCTTTCAGAAAATACTAGGCTTGATAAACATTAACTCTTAAGAGAATGAAAGTATGTCTAGAGAAAAAAGCAAATTAACAAAACAATTAACTTCACATTAACTGAATCAAAAGAAAGAATTCTAAGACGCTAAAAGAGATGCATTTGTTTAATTAACAGTATTTCTTGGAAAATTCTTTTTATTCCCTTCCTTTGGTGTCAGTAACAGAGTTCTGAACTCAGGGCCTTACATTCTCACTATACCACTTGAACTATGCCTCCAGTCCATCATTTTGCTGATTAATTGGAGATGGAGTCCTACAGACTTTTCTGCCTGCACTGGCCCTGAGCATTAATCTTCCAGGTCTCAGCCTTCTGAGAAACTAAGATTACAGGTATGATCCAACAATGTCTAGCTAGAAAATTCATTTAAAAGAGTTTACAGCTCACAATTGTAAATATTACTGTATTATTAAACTATGTCTAGGGGCTGGGGTGGTAGCTTAGTGGTAGAGTGCTTGTCTTTCATGCATGAGGCCCTGGGTTCGATTCCTCAACACCACATAAGCAGAAAAAGCTGGAAGTGGCGCTGTGGCTCAAGTGGTAGAGCACTAGCCTTGAGCTGAAGAGCTGAGGGACAGTGCCCAGGCCCAGAGTTCAGGCCCCACGACCAGAAAAAAAAAAAAAAGGAACAAAATAAACTATGTCTAACATTATATAAAATAAAGGTAATCCTAGCTACTCAGGAGGCTCAGATCAGAGGATCATAATTTGAAGCCAGCCTGGGCAAGAAAATCCACAAAATCTTATCTCTAATTAACCACCAGAAAACGGTAGTAGAGGTGTGACTCAAAGAGTGGTAGAGCACTAGTATTGAGTGAAAAAGCTCAGGGACAGAACCCAGTCCCTGAGTTCAAGCCCCACAACCACCACCACTACCAATAACAACAAAAAATAAGAAGATTACTGGATCATACTATAGTTCCAGAGCAATAGATATTTACCAAGTTCGATATTATGAACACTGTCCCCTATATTTTCTCTTAGAAGTCTTACAGTATCAGATTTAGGTTTAAGTGTGTGTGTGTGTGTAAGTCTTTAGTAACGTGTATGTGTGTGTGTGTGTGTGTGTGTGTGTATTATAAAACAAAGGTCCAATTTGATTCTGTTGTCTATGCTTATCCTGTTTGCCCAGCATCTTTGTATTTGGTTGTTGAGGCAGGGTTTTTCTGTGTATCCCTGTCTTCCTCTCTACCTTCTGAGTGCTAAGAAGCACCTATCCCAGAGATGGGATGACACTCTCTTCTCTCTGTTGTATCTTCTTGACACCTTTGTTGAAGATTAGCTACATGTGACTACACATGCTTGCATTCATTTCTGGGCCCTCAGTTACGTTCTATTGGTCTATATCATTTTTATGGTATTACCAGACTGTTGATTACTGTGGTTTCATAATATACTTTAAATCTGAAAGTATGGATATGATGTCTGCAGCTTTGATCTCTCTTGCTATCGCTCAAGATTGTTTTGTCTACTCATAGTCCGTTGTGGTTTCAGATACTTTTTTTTTATGTTCCATGTAAAATAGTGCTGGGGTTTTTATTAGGGAATGGTGGTAGAGCCTATTCAGATTTTCCATTTTTTTATTATTTGATTCTAATAAATTTTTATGTTTCTAAGAATGTATCCATTTCTTCATGGTTATTCAATTTCTCAACATATAAAGTTGTTTTATTGGATCTTTTCACCTCTTAGTTTTGTTGATTCATCCAGCTGCTATCTGTTCTGTTTTATTTATTTTCATCCTAGCCCTTATTGCCCTTCCTGCTACCTTTGAGTATAATTTTATTCTTTATAATTTCTCGCCAGGTGCCAGTGGCTCACACCTGCAATCCTAGCTACTCAAGAAGCTGAGATCTGAGGCTCATAGTTTGAAGCCACCCTGGGCAGGAAAATCTGTGAGACTCTTATCTCCAATAAATCACAGGGAGAAAAAAAAACCAAGTAGCACAAGTAGCACTGTAGCTCAAGTGGTAGAGTACTAGCCTACAGCAAAATGAGCTCAGAGACAACACACTGGCCCAGAGTTCAAGCCCCAGGACTGGCAAATAAATTAATAAGTAAATAAATTAAAAAAATTCTTAAGGTATAGCAGTTTGAGATCTTCCTTAGGGCTTGAGTACTTTCCCTAACTTTTTTTTTTTTGCTCAAGGCTAGTGCTCTGCCACTTGAGCCACAGCCCCATTTATGGCTGCTTTGGTGTTCTCAGCTGGAGATAAGAATTTCAAGGACTTCCCTGCCTGGGCTGGCTTCAAACCTTGATCGTCAGTTGATCCTCAGATCTCAAGTCTCCTGCATAGATAGGATTATTGTAAGCCACCAGTACTCATCTAAGGATTTTTGGTTTTTTTTTTAATGCCACATATTTATCACTACCATGAAAAGTTAACACAGTACTAATGTGATGTCCCCGCCAAAATTCAGTGTTGAAATTCTCAACCACAAGTGATAGCATTAGTAAGTAAGGTGCCCTCCTTAGTAGGATTTATTGTCTTTGTAACAGCAGCCTGAAAGAGTTGCCCTGTTCTGTGAGATTGAGAAGAAGTAAGTCTTTGCCATACACCAGATCTGCCAGTGGACACATCTTGGACTTAATCGTGGATTTCCCAGGATCCAGTACAAAAGGCGGCTTTAAGTTTAAGCCTCCAGTCTGTGCTATTTTGTTACAGTAGCCTGAAGAGAGTAACACAGAAGGATAATCCGTTTCTATTTAAGGTTATTGAAAAGGAAGGAAGGATTTACTATTTGCTATTATTGAATTGTTTTGTCACTTGTCCTTCTTTTCTTTTCTTGGTGTTTCATTAACATTTTAAGCAACACATTTTGATTCCTTTCTTTTATTGGGTTTCTATAGGTACTATATTTTGCTTACTTTAAGTCTTACACAAAAACATTTTATAGTTACAAAATCTGTTTTATAACTTCACATGCAAAACATGTAAACTTTTCCTTTGCCACACTTGTTGCTATAGAAGTAAAAAATTATCCCTTTTTATTGTGTATCTGTTAACATGTAATGTGTTTTTATAGTTATAATCATTTTTTAGGTTTTTGTCTTAAATTTGTTACCAAAATTTAAGTAATTTGTGGGGCTTGGAGGTGTAATACATTGATAGAGTTGTTGGTGAGCATGTGTGGGATCCTAGGTTTGATACCTAACACTACAAGAAAGAAAGAAAAAGTGATGTATGTATCGTTGTTATACTGTAGTTAAACATTCTGTATTTGCCTATGCATTTACCTTTATCAACAAGCTACACTTTTAACCCTTTCAGCAGATCTAGTGGTGATGAACTTTCTTACCTTTTGTTTATCTGGGCAAGTCTTTATCTCTCCATTCTTTTGATGAATAGTTGTTTGTTCCAGATATTGTATTCTCTCTCTCTCTCTCTCTCTCTCTTTTTTTAAATCAGTTGTGGGGCTTGAACTCAGGGACTGGATTTTGTCCCTGAGCTTTTCCACTCAAGATTATTGCTCTACCACTTGGAGTCACAGCTCCACTACTGTTGTTTTCTGGTGGTTAATTAGAGTTAAGAGTCTCAAAGACTTGTCCCGGCTGGCTTCCAACTATGATCTTCTGATCTCAGCCTCAGTGCCCAGCAGCAATCTCACTCTTGGTGTGTACTCAAAACAACAGAAATAAATATTTTGATGAGATAACTGCACTTTTATGGTTCTCTATCTAATGACAAATAAAGTATGAAATGTACATGCAAGAAAACATATCCTTGCTGGGCACTGGTGGCTCACGCCTGTAATCCTAGCTACTCAAGGGCTGAGATCTGAGGATCACGGTTCAAAGCCAGCCTGGGCAGCAAAGTCCGGGCAGCAAAGTCCGTGAGACTCTTATCTCCAATAAACCACTAGAAAACTGGAAGTGATGCTGTGGCTCAAGTGGTAGATCACTCACCTTGAGCTGAAGAGTGCAGGGACAGCGCCCAAGCCTAGAGTTCAAGCCCCATGACTGACAACAAAAAAAAAAGAAAGAAAACATATGCTTTAGTCAGAGAGAAGAAGGAAATCTTTCGGACACTTCAACATGGATAAATGTTGAGGACTAAGTTTATACATTATGCTAAGTGAAGCATAAGAGAGATGCATATGGTTCCTGTAGTCAAACTCAACTATACTTAGAAATTTAAGAAGGCAAATGACATGTTTTTGTTTTTACCACACTGAATAATAATTACTAATTCTTAGTTTAAAATGAGTTGAGAATCGTACCGGATGTGTAGCGACTTGGGTTATTATTGAAGCGGTCATCTACTAGAAGAAGAGCTCCCCAATCATTTTTGTGTCGAATACACCTACGAAAAGGAAAGAAAAAGAAAATATGTACACTGAAAATAAAGGCCAGATTTTGAGAGGGATACATAGAATATTAAGAAAACCAAGTGTGTGTCAACTATATGGTCCTGTAATTCAAGTGTTATAAGAACAAAAACTGCCCAAAGTAACAAAGTTGGTATTTGCTAATTTGTATAAAAAAATGTTATTTGGGGCTGGCAAGGTGGCTTAGTGGTAGTGTGTTTACGCTTACCTTGCATGCATGAGGCCCTGGGTTCGATTCCTCAGCACCACATAAGCAGAAAAAGCTGAAAGTGGAGCTATGGCTCAAGTGGTAGAGCACTAGCTAAAGCACAGCTAAAGAGCTGAGGGACAGTGCTAGGCCCAGTTTAGGCCCCATGACTGACCCAGAAAAAAAAAAGTTATTTGTATTTTATTTTAAAATTTAAAAAGAATCATAGAAAATATTTCCCAAGATGTTATGTCTTAGCAACAGAGATTTTTTTTAGCTTATTTTTTAAGGGTTTAAATTAAGGGCCTAGGCACTGTCTCTGAGCTTCTTTTGCTCCAGGCTAGCACTCTACCACTTGAGCAACAGCTTTTCTGTTTATGTGGTGCTGAGGAATTAAACCCAGGGCTTCATGCTTGCTAGGCAAGTACTCTACCACTAAGCCACATTAATAGCCTTACCTTAATATTTAATGACTGGGTTTTATGTACTTGTTCTCTTAGTTTTGTGAGTTAAAAATAAAACCATGAGTGTTTAATTTTTCTCAAAAACATTTTACAGAACAATTAATCATATGGATTTTCTTCTTTGAACTCTCACACAGTAGATTGTATTTGTCACATTGTATAACCTAGTATAACTATACGTGGTCATTACTATTTTTATGGATGGTTGGATTAAATATACAAGCATTTTAAAATATATATCTTATATTAAACTATATAAAATTTAGTGATACAATTAAATCATTTTTAATATATTTACAAGTTTGTACAGTACATGCCACTGTCTCTTCTAGAAATTTCAAACAATTCTATGGGCATATGTTGTTTCGCCATTCATAAGCTAGTGGACATCATTGCTGCTTTTGAGTATTAGGAGTAACACAGCTATGAACACTTGTGTGTTTGTATAAATGCATGTTTTTTGATTCTCTTAGGTATATACTTAGGAGTAGCTAGGCCATATGGGACCTATATGTTTAACTTTTTGAAGAACTCTCACATTGTTTTGCAAAGGAGCTGCATAATTTCACATTTTCATCAGTTATGCATGAGGGTTCCAAAATCTCCACATAATCACCAACACTTATTATTGTACATCTTTTAATAATTATATCTTCCCTAATTAATGGTATTTCATTGTGGTTTTAATCGTATTTCCCTAATGCCTAGCTGTGGTGAGCATCACTGTTGTAAAGAAATATCTATTCAAAGTATTCGTTCACTTTGTTTTTATTTTTATTTATTGATTTTTTTAGTCTGTCATGGGGCTTGAGCTCTGGGCCTGGGCGCTGTCCCTCAGCTCTTCAGCTCAAGGCGAGCTCTCTACCACTTGACTACAGCGCCACTTCCGGTTTTCTGGTAGTTTACTGGAGATAAGAGTCTCACAGCCTTTTCTGCCCGGGCTGGCTTTGAACTGTGATCCTCAGATCTCAGCCTGCTGAGTAGCTAGGATTACAGGCGTGAGCCACCAGTGCCCGGCTAGGAATTCAGCGATTTTTTTTTTTTTTTTTGCCGGTCATGGGGCTTGAACTCTGAGCCTGGTCGCTGTCCCAGCGCTGGCAAGTGCTCTACCACTTGAGCCACAGCGCCAATTCCTTGGCTCACTTTAAGCTTTACATATTTGGGTCTTTTTAGTGTTAAGTTATAAGTAAGAGTTTGGGAATTTTTGTTTTCTTTTGTTTTTCAGTACCAGGGTTTGAAATAAAGGCTTCATACTTTCTAAGTAGTCAGTATGTTCCATTACGTGAGTCACTGCTCACTCCATTTTTATTCATTTACTTTCTGGATAACCTAGGCCTAACTCAAACTAAAATCCTCCTATCTATGCCTCATGTAGCTGGGATTATAGATTTTTTTTTTCTGGGTCCGGTTGTGGGGGCCTGAACTCTGGGCCTGAGCGCTGTCCCTCAGCTCTTCAGCTCAAGGCTAGCGCTCTACCACTTGAGCCACAGCGCCACTTCCAGCTTTTTTCTTTTTGCCTATGTGGTGCTGAGGAATCGAACCCAGGGCCTCAGGCATGCAAGGCAAGCGCTCTACCACTGAGCCACCTTCCCAGCCCAATTATAGATTTGTATGGCCACACTCATCCTCTAAGAGTTCTTTATGTATTCTGGTATCAGAGAAAGAAATGTTTCCTGCCTCTTATGTAGGAAATTGGAGTTAAAGACTCTTCTATTTCCTATTAATGTTTGTGGGATAACAAAAACATAATCACTGGCAAAGTCCATGTCATTCATTGTTTAACCAATTACAACATTTTTGTTTTCTGGTCTGTCATGGGGCCTGAACTCTGGGCCTGGGCGCTGTCCCTCAGCTCTTCAGCTCAAGGTGAGCGCTCTACCACTTGAGCCACAGCACCACTTAGAGCTTTTTTTTTTTTTTTTTTTTGCGTATGTGGTGCTGAGGAATTGAACCAAGGGCCTCAAACATGCAAGGCAAGTGCTCTACCACTGGGCCACCTTCCCAGCCCCACAACATGTTTTTTTTTAAACATAAGCACATTTTACATTTTGTTTTGGGTCTAATTTAGTTGTTGGTACTTGTCAACTTCTACTTATTAACATGTAACATAAAAAAACTCTTCTTAGAAGTTTGTACTTAAAAATTTTAATCATATCTAGTAAGAAAGAATAAGTAGCAGTATAACTTCTACATATAGCCTTGGCTATAGATTAAAATTACAGTAATGCAAATTTTATTCTACTTACCTACCTAGGGCCTGGTTTAAGGCCCTATATGCTTGTATTTCATACCACTGACGGCCCGGCAAAAGACCTCTCAATTGTGAGTAGTGGTCATTGTATTGTCGCTTGAGTTCAACCTAATAATTAAAGAATGCATGTAAAATGTAGTAGATAAATGAAGCTCATTAATAAAAAACAACAACCCATATTAAGGCCACGCACTGGTGGCTCATGCCTATAATCCTAGCTACACAAGGGGCTGAGATCTAAGTATCATGGTTCAAACCTAGTCTAGGCAACCAAGTCTATGAGACTCTTATCTCCAAGTAATCACTGAAAAAGCTGGAAGTGGCACTGTGGCTCAAGTGTTAGAGCAGTAGCTTTGAACAAAAGGAGTTCAGAGTTAGTGTCCAAGACAGAGTTCAAACCCCATTGAACCAGCAAAAATAATAAACAAACAAAATTGTATTAACTTCTCATATCTTGAATACTATTTTTTAGGGTAAGTGGTTACTTTGTTTTTCAGAACTAACTTTTTTCAGTTTATTTAAAACAGTTTCATTTAACTTTACATTCTTTAAATTCTCTAATGCTTGTTTCAGCTATGTAAAATAAGCTGTTTTGTAAATCTCATTGTTGCAATGGGTCAATCTGCAACCCTATTTATTTAAACAATTTCTTTTTTCCCTTCCCCTCCCCAAATTATATCAACATCAAATACAGTGAAAACAGGGGTTATACTCTGTGGGGGGGACATACAAAGCAAAAAAAAATCACATGGTACCTTATAAATATGTTAGAAACAATAGCAAGCAAGAAAAAAATACTTGTGTCCCTATCTTGGGGTTCATTTTGCTTAATATTATCTTATCTGATCTTTTCTGCTTGTCTCAGACATATACTAGTTATTGCAAATAAGGGAAACCATGGGGCCTATGTTTCTTTGGGCCTGGCTTACTTCAATTAATATAATTTTTTCCAGTGGGAGTGGGGGGTGGGCGGATGGGGGGGTGTAGTTGAAGAGGTGGGAGGGACAGGATGGTAGGGGAAAAACAAAGGAGGAGGCAACAATGAT